GAAAGAACTATTGTTCTCCCCATTTGACAGATGTGTTACCTAACCTTAAAGAAACTGAATGACCTATTCAATGTCACATCGCCTGTAACATGATGAGCCAATCATGAATCTAGAAAGTCATTTATGCCAATACTTGCTGCTATGAATGTCTTTGTATTCTTAGAAATATGAACCCCTCCAGAGCCAGGCAGTGGTGGCACATGCTTTTAATCCCAGCACTCAGGAGGCAGAGACAGGCAGATCTTTATGAGTTCCAAGGCAGCCTGGTCTACAGAGTGAGTTCCAGGACAGGCTCCAAAGCTATGCAGAGAAACCCTGTCTTGAAAAACCAAAAAAGGAAGGAAGGAAGGAAGGAAGGAAGGAAGGAAGGAAGGAAGGAAGGAAGGAAGGAGGGAAGGAAGGCTGACTTGAGTGGTGGTGGTGTACATTTTTATCCCAGCATTTGGGAGGCAGAGGCAGGTGGATCTCTGGGAATTAGACATTAGCCTGATCTACAAATCGAGTTCCAGGACAGCCATGGCTACACAGAGAAACACTGTCAAAAAAAACAAAAAACAAACACAAAAACTAACCCCTCTGCCTATAGTACTTGATCCTATATCATAAACAATTTAAGGGACCAGCAAGAATAGCTCAACAGGAAAATGTATTTACCACCAAGCTAAACAACCTGAGTTTGATCCCAGAACCTACAAAATAGAAGGAGAAAACCAACTTCAAAAAGTTATCCTCTGACTGCCACAGATATGATGTGGCACACACATGCCAACACATATGGACACACACACACAAATAAATAATTAGTAATAAACTTTTTTTTGGTCTTTCTGAGACAGGGATTCTCTGTGTAGCTCTGGCTGTCCTGGAACTCACTCTGTAGACCAGGCTGGCCTAGAACTCAAGAGATCCATCTGCCTCTCTCTGCTTCCCAAAAGCTGGGATTAAAGGCGTGTGTTACCACCACATAGCACATAATAAACTTTTAAAAATAAAAACATACTTACACTCAGATGGTGCGTCCTTTAAGATGTTCATGTGTTTGTACATGTGTTGTAAAGAGATCTCTACTGTCAGGCTGCTGCCAATCAGAGTCTATATTTGTGTCCTCTAACTTGGAAGTCACTGACCACATATGGCTGTTATGTGCTTGAGTGTGGCTACTACAAACAGAGATTGGCCATAAGTGTAAAACTTGCACAAGATTTCACATACTTGGTCACATCCATCGACTACATTTTGACATGAAGTTTGGAATATATGGATTAAATACCATAGTGATTCAAAATAATTTCATCTATTTCTTTTACCTTATTAACGTGGCTACTACAAAATATTAAACATACCTGACTCGTTGCATTTCCTTTGTACACCTTTGTTTATTAGAGGAAAAAACTAAGGAATTGTGAATATGAGAGCTGAAACCAACTTCATTAGCGGATGATGCCAGGAGAGGGCATTGGGCTGAACCTGTACAGGACCCATGGTGGGTATTAGAAATCTCGACTGGAACATGTATTGAAATGGAAGAATGGAGAAATAATGTCATGAATGCCAGGGAGAGATGGCATCCCAAGGAGGGCAGAGTCAGCTCTGTCTTGGCAGCCTGAGTCACATGTAAACATGACTAAAGAGAAGACCTTTAGGTGTGACACTCCAAATTTGTAAGGCATCGAGTGCCGTGTTGTCAGGCCCTGTGGGCAGTGGCTGAGTCCAGAGATTGAGAGGTACATGGTGGCAAGAAAGAGTTTTGTGTTTTTTGGCACGGGGTCTCTCTGTATTGTGCAGAATAGCTTCAAGCTTCTAAGCTCTACTATCCTGTCTCAGGCACACATCACTGTCTCCTGCTAAGATAATTCTGAGGGACAACTTGTTGGATTCCTCTTGCTGTTTGAGGCACTGAGGGTGAAATTTAGGCCCACATTCATGAAAGGGAAGTGAGAGAGAGACAGAGACAGGCAGGCAGACAGAGAGAGAGAGACAGAGAGGAGAGTGAGATAGACAAAGGACCTGGGTGGGTGGGAGACTAGTGCACAGGTCACAGGTGAGAGGTGGGGACACGCACAGGTCACAGGCGAGAGGTGGGGACACGCACACGTCACAGGCGAGAGGCGGGGACACGCACACGTCACAGGCGCGAGGTGGGGACACGCACACGTCACAGGCGAGAGGCGGGGACACGCACACGTCACAGGCGCGAGGTGGGGACACGCACACGTCACAGGCGAGAGGCGGGGACACGCACACGTCACAGGCGCGAGGTGGGGACACGCACACGTCACAGGCGAGAGGCGGGGACACGCACACGTCACAGGCGCGAGGTGGGGACACGCACACGTCACAGGCGAGAGGCGGGGACACGCACACGTCACAGGCGCGAGGTGGGGACACGCACACGTCACAGGCGAGAGGCGGGGACACGCACACGTCACAGGCGCGAGGTGGGGACACGCACACGTCACAGGCGAGAGGCGGGGACACGCACACGTCACAGGCGCGAGGTGGGGACACGCACACGTCACAGGCGAGAGGCGGGGACACGCACACGTCACAGGCGCGAGGTGGGGACACGCACACGTCACAGGCGAGAGGCGGGGACACGCACACGTCACAGGCGCGAGGTGGGGACACGCACACGTCACAGGCGAGAGGCGGGGACACGCACACGTCACAGGCGCGAGGTGGGGACACGCACACGTCACAGGCGAGAGGCGGGGACACGCACACGTCACAGGCGCGAGGTGGGGACACGCACACGTCACAGGCGAGAGGCGGGGACACGCACACGTCACAGGCGCGAGGTGGGGACACGCACACGTCACAGGCGAGAGGCGGGGACACGCACACGTCACAGGCGCGAGGTGGGGACACGCACACGTCACAGGCGAGAGGCGGGGACACGCACACGTCACAGGCGCGAGGTGGGGACACGCACACGTCACAGGCGAGAGGCGGGGACACGCACACGTCACAGGCGCGAGGTGGGGACACGCACACGTCACAGGCGAGAGGCGGGGACACGCACACGTCACAGGCGCGAGGTGGGGACACGCACACGTCACAGGCGAGAGGCGGGGACACGCACACGTCACAGGCGCGAGGTGGGGACACGCACACGTCACAGGCGAGAGGCGGGGACACGCACACGTCACAGGCGCGAGGTGGGGACACGCACACGTCACAGGCGAGAGGCGGGGACACGCACACGTCACAGGCGCGAGGTGGGGACACGCACACGTCACAGGCGAGAGGCGGGGACACGCACACGTCACAGGCGCGAGGTGGGGACACGCACACGTCACAGGCGAGAGGCGGGGACACGCACACGTCACAGGCGCGAGGTGGGGACACGCACACGTCACAGGCGAGAGGCGGGGACACGCACACGTCACAGGCGCGAGGTGGGGACACGCACACGTCACAGGCGAGAGGCGGGGACACGCACACGTCACAGGCGCGAGGTGGGGACACGCACACGTCACAGGCGAGAGGCGGGGACACGCACACGTCACAGGCGCGAGGTGGGGACACGCACACGTCACAGGCGAGAGGCGGGGACACGCACACGTCACAGGCGCGAGGTGGGGACACGCACACGTCACAGGCGAGAGGCGGGGACACGCACACGTCACAGGCGCGAGGTGGGGACACGCACACGTCACAGGCGAGAGGCGGGGACACGCACACGTCACAGGCGCGAGGTGGGGACACGCACACGTCACAGGCGAGAGGCGGGGACACGCACACGTCACAGGCGCGAGGTGGGGACACGCACACGTCACAGGCGAGAGGCGGGGACACGCACACGTCACAGGCGCGAGGTGGGGACACGCACACGTCACAGGCGAGAGGCGGGGACACGCACACGTCACAGGCGCGAGGTGGGGACACGCACACGTCACAGGCGAGAGGCGGGGACACGCACACGTCACAGGCGCGAGGTGGGGACACGCACACGTCACAGGCGAGAGGCGGGGACACGCACACGTCACAGGCGCGAGGTGGGGACACGCACACGTCACAGGCGAGAGGCGGGGACACGCACACGTCACAGGCGCGAGGTGGGGACACGCACACGTCACAGGCGAGAGGCGGGGACACGCACACGTCACAGGCGCGAGGTGGGGACACGCACACGTCACAGGCGAGAGGCGGGGACACGCACACGTCACAGGCGCGAGGTGGGGACACGCACACGTCACAGGCGAGAGGCGGGGACACGCACACGTCACAGGCGCGAGGTGGGGACACGCACACGTCACAGGCGAGAGGTGGGGACACGCACAGGTCACAGGTGAGAGGTGGGTACACACATCACGGGTGAGAGGTGGGTACACACGTCACGGGTCACAGGCGAGAGGCACAGGAGTGGGAGGATCTGGGTACAGGGAGCCCCCTGATGATTTCCTCTGGTGAGCGGGAGATCAAGCTCTTTTCAGAGTGGGGGTCGGCAGTTGTGAAGAGCCAGGCCCAGCATAGTGATGCACACCTGTAATCCCAGCTCTCCAGAGACAGAGGGAAGTCCTAAATT